ACAAAGCTTGTGATGCACTGATTAAACTGAAGTACTGCAGTCAAGACTCTGCTAACGACCTGAGTTCAACCGATTAAGGCAGCTGGCTCAAGGTTGTTTCAGCTTTCCATCCTTCTAAGGTTGGTAAATTGAGAACCCAGCTCACTGTTGGAAAGTCGAACCTAAATTTTGCAGCCAGAGAAGTCTGTAACTCGAAAAGTCTGTAAGTCGAGCTGTCTGTAAGTCGAGGGTCCACTGTACTGATATTCAGTCCCTTCTTGTGCGAGTACAAAGCTTGTGATGCACTGATTAAACTGAAGTACTGCAGTCAAGACTCTGCTAACGACCTGAGTTCAACCGATTAAGGCAGCTGGCTCAAGGTTGTTTCAGCCTTCCATCCTTCCAAGGTTGGTAAACTGAGAACCCAGCTCCCTGTTGGACAATGTGTAGTCTTGTGTAATTAAATTGTAAACCACTCTTAAAGAGAGTGCTTTAAGCGTTCGTTATCTGTTTGTTTTAAGTTTTCTTCTTAAAAGAATCCTATGCGGAGGTTTATAAGCAGCACACTTTTTGCTTCCCTTTTACTAAAAAGTGGGAGATCTCTAACCGGCACAATGGCAAGCTGGAGACTATGGAACGCCGGGCACAGTGTTATGCTCTGTGTACTTTGTTAGGGGATTATGGCCTTAGATTTAATCATAAAGTTGTCACAGTGGGAATCTGTGGTGGTTACTTGTGGAATGAATGAACCTCCCCTAGCTCACATATTCCCCCTCCTACTTCAGTGCAACTATGAGTTTGGAAACATTTCACTTCTTGTTTTCCCCTTATTTCCTAACACTTCTCCCCTCTTCTCCTAGAGTGGATTGTTATCTTGCTCAAATGGAAAGAACTATTTTTAATTTTAACTACACCTAATTTGAAACAACTTCACTTAAAACCACAGTTATGATGGTACCTTGTTTCAAACAGACTATGGTTAAAATTAACCATAGTTTAGGTTTTGGATGACACAAGAAACTCCAGTCAATCAACTATAGAAACACAACATCCTTTTGGATACAGAGAAGGGGAAACTTGTGATCCTAGAAGGAAACTAGGTTCATTTTCATCACAATAAATCTTGGCTTATCATGATGTTTGTATTGCCCAGCTACATTGTACCTTGACACCGGGTCCCTCACCACACTGGTCCATGCATTGGCAGTCTCAAGATTAGACTACCCACGAATCTGATTCAGAAACTTCAACAGGTCCAGAATACAGCAGCTAGACTAGATTATACAGATACTATCACATATCACCCACTCTGGCCGCCTTACACTGGTAAACTGTTAATTTCCATGCCAGCCTCAAGGTGATGACACTAACATATAAGATCCTAAATGGTTTGGGACCTCAGTACCTGGCAGAATGCCTTCTTCCAATGAATTCTGCCCACCTACCCACTTGTCCCATGTGAGGTGGTTGAGGGCATTGACCCCAAGAGAGGTCCAGAAGGAAAAGACCAGAACTTGGGCTTTCTTGCAGTTGCACCACACATATGGAATCACTTCCCACCTGATATTCACCTGGCCCCATCACTGGCTTCTTTTTTAAGAGATTGTTGAAAACCTGGTTATTTACGCAGACCTTTGAGAATGTTATACCAACAGAGCACAGAGCACTTACCAACCAATAATCCAGATATTCCACCATCCTGATTGCTTTTATTAAACATTTTGGTGCTATATTTCTAAGCTTATAATGTTTCTAATTTGTGTGTGTTATTGTTGTTGTTTAGTCATTAAGTCATGTCCGACTCTTCGTGACCCATTGGACCAGAGCATGCCAGGCAATCCTGTCTTTCACTGCTTCCCAGAGTTGGGTCAAATTCATGTTGGTAGCTTCGATGAAACTGTCAAACCATCTTGTCCTCTGTCGTCCCCTTCACCTCTTGCCTTCACACTTTCCCAACATCAGGGGCTTTTCCATGAGATGGCCAAAGTATTGGAGTCTCAGCTTCAGGATGCGTCCTTCCAGTGAGCACTCAGGGTTGATTTCCTTCAGAATTGATAGGTTTGCTCTCCTTGCAGTCTGGAGGACTCTCAAGAGTCTTCTCCAGCACCACAATTCAAAAGTATCAATCCTTCGGTGGTCAGTCTTCTTTATGGTCCAGCTCTCGCTTCTATACATTGCTACTGGAAAAACCATAGCTTTGACTATGCGGACCTTTGTCGGCAAGGTGATATCTCTGCTTTTTAAGATGCTGTCTAGGTTTGTCATGGCTTTCCTCCCCAGAAGCAGCTGTCTTTTAATTTTGTGACTGCTGTCACCATCTGCAGTGATCATGGAGCGCAAGAAAGTAAAATCTGTCACTGCCTCCATATGTTTCCCTTCTATTTGCCAGGAGATGATGGGACCATAATGTGTATGTATTTATGTGTAGTGTATATTTATTCTTTTATATTACTTTGATATTATTTATTTTAATTTATTGTTGTTGATTATTGTTTTATTTTCTGTCGTGAACTGCCCAGAGTGGCCTTTGTAGCCAGCATATTCTGTATATAAACAGAATTCGATAGATAGATAGATAGACAGACAGACAGACAGACAGACGGACGGACGGACGGACGGACGGACGGACGGATAGACGGACGGATAGATGGACGGATAGACGGACGGACGCACAGACGGACAGAAATGTTTGAATATGGCCACTGCAAACATTTCTAGTTACACTTTAAATACATATTTCTATGCTTAGGCATTATCATTATGCTTTAAAAAAAAGAAAGAAAGAAACGGTGCTAGTTGTTCTTTATTGTCCAAGAAAGAGATATAATTTTCACTCTCATAAGTACACAATCTAGGAAGAGAACATTCCCCCTCCACTTTGCACAAGAGAATGCTTGACTATAAGAGGATACTCACATGAGGATACAATGGAAAGTGGATGTTCTTCCTCAGCTGTTCAATAGATCCACCACACCAGTCCTCAAAGACATGGAGGTTGACTTGGCCATTAATCTGCAAACGCATGCAAGCACAAGGAAACATTCAATTTACTAAACACTCCATTTACTAATCATTCCATTTATACATTTTCCTACTACTGCTTTACAGATCCATGTATGGCAAGGATCAGTCTAGAGTTGCAGGGTTGAATTGCTTTCATTGATACTATTAACAGCATTTATCTGCTTAACAAGAAATAATCACCGACATTCTGCATAGTATATTTACAATTTTAACCACCCAAGGTTGAATGTACGTAAACAAGAATTTTACAGCCTTGTTCATCTCAGTATTTAAACTGTTTTATAATCCTTCCTTCCATTTCGTAAAATCATAATGGGCAGATGATATAAATGTAAAATATTCTATACCATAATCATGAGAATATCTAATTAGAAAAAAAGTGATCTGCCATAATTAGCTGTTGTGTATTGCTGGCATTCAGCTGTCTCTCTTCTGCTCTATAATCTTCCACCCACACTATCCCTAAATGGATATCCTGTTACAATAAACAGTAAAGTGTCTATTTTTTTTCTTGTCTAATATCAGTCTTTATAGAGGAGTTACTCCTAACCAACAATCACAAGCTCAGGAGTAGGTTACTCCCCTCTGCCAGTGGGGGAGGGGGGACGACACAAATAGTCATAACAAGCAAAAAACATTCAGAGGAATATTAAGCTCTGGCACTCAGATCCAGAGCCAGAGGTTGGGAGTTTGATTCCCCACTGTGCCTCCTTGACAGGGGCTGGATTTGATGATCCATAGCATCCCTTCCAGATCTGCACTTTTAGATGATAGTGTTGATGATGGTTTTAATTAGCAGATCACCATGGTGTGAAAATTGCTGTTCTAGCCACTGGAAACAATGGGAAACTGTGTTCTGCACTTTTGTCTACACAGGCAGAACCTGGAAGGGACCTTAGAAGTGCTGGTACGTGGACGTTCCATGAAACTTTATCCCATTTTCATTTGGTCTAGTAAGAAATAAAGATGGACAGGGTGCATGCATTAGTCATTTCCTGTATTGACTACTGCAATGCTCTCTACTTGGGGCTTCCCTTGGGTCTAACTTGGAGATTGCAGTGGGTGCAGAACATGGCGGCCAGAATGGTGGCTGGTGTGTTAAGGTTTGACCACATTCTTCCAGTCTTGGCTGGCCTACACTGGTTACCTGTTGCATCTTGGAGCAGGTTCAAAGTTTTGATAAAGCCCTTGATGGTTTGGGACCACATTACCTGTCAGAGCATCTTTTCTTAAGATCATCTTCCCAACCCACTAGGTTCTCTCAGGCCATGATCCTCTGGGTAGTCACTCCAAGGGAGGCCAATAAATCCTCCACTAGAAATAAAGCCTTCTTTGCTGTGGCTCCAATGCTATAGAATCAACTGCAGATGGAACTGTGCCTGGGCCCCTCCCTCCTAACCTTTAAAAGATCTCTTAAAACAATGTTTTACAGAGAGGCCTTTTTTAGCAACCCTGTTTGATCTGTTCCTCGCTGCTTTATATGTTCACATGCCCTGTGTTGCATTTAATTTCGATATTTCTGCATCTTGAAGTGTTGATTGTTATTTTGTGACTCATTTTTACGTTGACTGCAAACCACCCAGAGTAGTGCATCCGCACGAATGGGGTGGTGTGCAAATTTAACAAACCAAAAACAAACAAGCAAACAAAAAGATGGAGTGATCTTAAATCCCACGTGAACATTCCTTTTAGTTCCATCAGGGTCATTAAGTGTTCCGTGTTTCTTTATATTTTGCAACCCTGCTGGACAAGCAACAACTCTTGATATCCAAAGATGGACTACTTTGGATAAATGAATCCATGAGCAGCTTTATACATGACATACCTAAGACTTTGTTTCAAAACATACACTTTTTTTTAAGCGGACCCTAGAGGACTGGCTGCTGATATCTGCATTGAAAGCTTGCTCTTTTATTGTGTTATTCAAGTTTTTATTTGGAAGCTAACCCCATTACATTTTTTGGGGAGGGTGAGTTCAGTCTATTTGACTGGGAACTTTTATTATGCTCCAAGAAAGTAGAAAGGTTTTCAAAGACGGGTTTGTTCTCAGCAAGGAGTGAACAATTTGCAATACAAGTGAGCAGCAAAGAAGAGAATAAAAACCAGGGATTCCAGAGATCTCAAATTGTGTCACATTCAATTGGTCTTCAGCTTGATAACTTTATTTTGTTGAACCCCAATGCTGAAGCTCTGGGATCAGTGTATTCTAAATGAGCTTTGGGAAACAGCTGTAATTTAAAAAAATTACTCTGCACCAGAACAGTTTGCAGGTATATTGTAGCCTACGTGGACTATGGTATGAGCTGGATGGTGAAGAGAGCCAAATCCTGAAATGCAGAGAATTTCCACTAGCAATAGCTACCCTGATTGACAAAAAAACAGTGCACACAGTTAATCTTAGGGAGAGTGCTGTTTGGTTTGAATTACTACATTTACAAACATCTCCACATGCTTTTAAAGGGATCTTAAGTTATCTTATCTACTGCCTACCATCTTCTGGACAAACAACTTTATAGGAAGAAAGAGATTTACACAAAAAGGAGAGAGAACAAACCCCTACATCTCAGAAATCAATCTAGAAAACTTGAACTTTTTAGTGATCCGATATGATTTATTTTATTTTATTTTTGTATTTTCTGTTAAAAGTTGCAAGAGTGACTGTGTGGGAGGAAATTTTGCAATCAGAATTTTTTTCCCCATGCAACTGAATTTCAGTGGGGATTCAATCTCCTCCAACCCAATAAATATGACTACCAATTTGAATGTAATTGACTTTTTAATTTCCTGTGCTACTCAGATTTTGCTGATGTCAAAATTGAGAGCTTGGCTGAAATCCTGTTGCTCTGTTGTGCATGGAAGGATAAAAAAAAATGCAACATTCACTCACTTTTAATCAGCAATTAATAAGTTCCTGCTGGGATTTTTGAGCGCTTGCCAAGCCAGTGAAGGTTGGCATCCCAAAGAATCAAAGTGGCAGCTTGTTAATTGCAGGCAAGTAAGCAAATGTTACATAATTTTTGCCTTCTGTTTACATCACAAAGCAACAGGATTTCAGCCATTGCTTCATATTATTCTGCTTCAATCTTATAAAAGAAGATTGTATACCTTCATTTAAGATTGATACCTTTCTTACACCTGCAGAATCAAAATCCAGTTTTTAAAACATGTGGAATCTAAACTGCATTTGTTGTTGTCAGTCTGGTTTCACAAGCCATGAATGCTATGTTTGGCCCAATGTTTTAACCATTTCCCTTAACCCAAATTTTACTCCACATGTGATTTGGCCCAATGTTTTAACCATTTCCCTTATCCCAAATTTTACTCCACATGTCGATTGGGGACAGGGACAGTATTGGGATCTTGCTGGCATACCGTGCTCCCTGCAGACACAATCACTTCTAAATGGATCTTGCTGGCATACCGTGCTCCCCGCAGACACGGTCGCTCCTAAACGCCCTCTATGTTGCAGAGCCCAACCAGCACCTTGGTTTAACCAGCAGCTGCTGGCTATGAAGCAGAATTGGAGAAGGCTAGAGAGCATCTGGAAACAAAACCTGACAGAAAATAACTTAAAAGCTGCGAAGGTCAGAATAGGAGAAGGCTAGAGAGCCTCTGGAAACAAAACCCGACAGAGAATAACTTAAAAGCTGCAGAGGTCGCGTCTAACCTCTACCTTGCTAAGGCAGAGGCTGCTAGAAAAGGCTCCTTTGTAACCTCTACCTTGCTAAGGTAGAGGCTGCAAGAAAAGCCTACGCTGTCTGGATAAGCAAAGCATCCAATCAGCAGGTGGAACTTTTCTGTATAGTATGCGACCTAACCAATCAGCGCCGCAACGACTGGCCTCCATCTAGCATTTCTTCTGACCAATTTGCAGCATTTTTAAAATCAAAAGTGGAGGCCATCCACCGGGATCTTGCACCCTATTTGAAAACAGTGGATTGAGCTGAGACGAGGCAGTGCCTTGTCCATTGAGAATTACTCAGTTTCAACCTGTGACATCCACAAGGTCCTTGATCGCTGCCAAGCCGCCACCACCTCCCTTGACCCCTGCCCAGCCTCACTAATCAAAGCTGCCAGCCCAGTGACAACTGAATAGGCCACTGAAATAATAAATGGATCTCTTCTTGAGGGTAAGGTTCCTCTTGCCCTTAAGGAAACGCTCATTAGGCCCATTAGAAAGAAACTGAGCTTGGCAGTGGACAACACTGGCAATTATAGGCCTGTCACCAATGTTTCTTTTCTCAGCAAGGTAGTTGAGAGGGTGATGGCCGACTAGCTTCAGGCTCTCATAGATGAAACTGATACCCTGGATCCATTTCAGTCGGGCTTCAGGCAGTGCCACAGCACGGAGACGGCATTGGTTGCTGTGCTGGATGACCTACTTAGGGAGGTCGACAGGGGCAAAATGTCCTTGCTCGTCCTCCTTGATATTTCAGCCACCTTTGATACCATCGACCACGGTATCCTCCTGGAGAGGGTCTCCGGGGGATTGGTGGCCTTGCTCTCACTTGGCTCCAGTCCTTCTTGGAGGGCCATCCCCAGAGAGTGCAGCTTGGGGAGAATGTATTGGCTCCGGGGTCCCTCAGTTGTGGGGTCCCGCAGGGTTGGATCATCTCCCCAATGCTGTTTAACATCTATATGAGGCCGTGGGAGGGGGTCATCTGGGAATGTGGAGCTTCATGTCACCAATATGCTGATGACACCTAGCTCTACATCTCTTTTTTCCATCTGCAGTGGATGCCGTTCTGTCCCTTGGGTGCTGCTTGGAGGCCATTCTGCAATGGATGCAGTCGAATGGACTAAGGTTGAACCCGGACAACATGGAGGTACTGCAGGTGTGTGTCTCTGATGTCAGTGGTTTGGGGAACTCCTCTCTTTTGGGGGGTGACTCTCACCACAAAGAATTTGATTCGCAGTCTAGGGGGGTCCATCTTGACCTGGTGTTTACCATGGATACCCAGGTAGCATCCGTGATTTGGTTTGCCCATTAACATCTTTGACAGATCGCTGAGCTGCGTCCCTATCTAGACGCGGGACACTCACTATGTTGGTCCATGCAGTTTCATGAATAGAGTACTGTAACACTCTCTACATGGGGCTTCCTTTAAGACTGATGCGAAAGCTCCAGATGGTCCAGAACACGGCGGCCAGGCTATTAATATGGGTGAAAAAATTTCCCCCACCTTGGCCACCTTACATGGCTACCTAACAGTGCAACCATTCCTACAACATAAAATCTATCATCAAGAATCCTGTTGGTGATTAATGCATGCATGAGTTAAACTGTACAACTCGTTAAACTGTGCAACTCGTTGTGCCAGACTGCTTCTAACTAATGTGACACTGGTGGTATCATGTTTGTTACTGGCAATTTGCTACTTCAAGTTGCATGTTTTATGCCCACATGAGTCACCCACAGGTTTCTGGTCACTAATTACATTGATGGAATCTGTTTATCTTCCAGGAAATTCAAGACTGTGTGCATAAGGTTCTTAGTTATTTTCATTAAAGCGTTGACCACACCCAGAAGGTCATAAAGGACTCTCCAGTTATTCTGTTATGGCAATTGCCATGTTTCAGTGTACCTCTGCTCCCAGCTAAACAGGAGCTGCATGTTTTGAAACAAGAAAATGGAGAATGTGGCAGGTGCTTGACAACTTTTTGTATAGAAAGATGAAAAAAGACAATTTGACCTACATTGTCTGAAGGGAAACCTGACACCTAAATTGATGCAACACGCTTGCAGGCTGTACTTTTGTCTTTATTGTAATTCAGAGTCTGATGTTGCAACATCTAGTCAAAATGATTTTTTGACTTTGTGGTTTCTTCTCCACTTTCCATAACTTCTACAATGCCCAGTCTGATGAAAGATTCTGCTAGGCTTGAAAGCTCACTTTTATTACATATTTTAGTGGTGCACTAAAGGAATTACTCAAACTTTCTTTTTGGAATAAAGTTCCTTCCAGTCATTGTTACAAGAATTGGCCATCTGTCAGATGAACACAGTTTGCTCTTGGCCAGCCTGTGTTCACCTGAGAGATAGGAAAGCACTTTAGCAATGACTAGAAAGTTTATATAATCAACACTCTCAGCATCTAATGCTTAATAATGCTACAGTCACTTTGAGATTTCATTTTCTGAGCCTGTATTTACCAACGTATACCATGTAAAAGCCTGTGGCTATATATTTCACTCTAATCTATGAAGGCTCACTCTAAATCACTGGTTCTTAACCTTGGGTTACTCAGGAGTTTTGGACTGCAACTCCCAGAAGCCTTCACCACCAGCTGTACTGACTGGGGTTTCTGGGAGTTGCAGTTCAAAAGCATCTGAGTAACAAAGGTTAAGAACCACTGCTCTAAATAAATCTCTTAGCTTTTAAGGTGTCATGATACTTCTCTATTTATTATTTTGTTACCAACTAACACATGCTACCTGTTGGAATATTGCACCAACAGGTTCATCAAAGGTAGCTTGGTTGTTTAACATTTTTGAAGCCCAAATTCCATGTGATCAGTTATTTTCTGGCCATCTCTTTTTAAAATCCAGCAGAGAAATAAAATTACTACCTTTTTTCCCTTGGGGAGAGCCCTTTCAATTCTACAACTGCTATGAATTTTTATTGTTTAACAGTTCGATATCTCTAGGCCAGATCAGCTGCATGCAATCTGAAGAATGTGCAAATGCGGGTGAAGATAAACTAGACAAAAAGGAGGTTTGAGCCAGAGAAGAATGGTGACATTGTGCTATTGCTTAAGGGGTTTTTATACATTTTCCCTCTCCCCCACTGAAGGTCTAGGCTACCCTTCTTTTAAATAACCTCTTCCCATTGTCTGTAGCTTTCTGGATGATTTGGTTTCAAAGACTCTTGCTATTATTCCCACTTGTCCGATCTCTGCACAAAACCTTCAGGTGCTGAGTTCTGCTGCCTTGCCACAACTTCCTAAGCATTGCTTCCTGTTCCCTTAGCATATAGAAATTTATTGAGCTTAGGCTTCCTGTGAATCTTAGCTTTCTGGAAAAAGGTCTCAGACAATGGGAAGAAAATTGTAGCATTCCTTTGAAAGAACTAATTCTAGCTTTTGTTTCAGTAGTATAGCCTTTTGAATTGCTCACCGAGGTGCATGTCCTAATACGTTATGTGGCTCTGATATGCAAACAGGAGACGGCATATTTTGGATGTTGTATTTTATTGACTTGTTTATTCGTATCTTTTGCTGGGTTGTCTATATTTTACTTTTATTGCTATATATTTTGTTTTTACTTTGTTTGTTAACTGCCCAGAGTAGTGCTTTGTATAAAGATGGAATAAAGTAATAAAGTAAAGTTTCTGAAAGAATTATTTCTGGTCAGACATGGAAGCCCCTACCAAAACAGATAGCCAAACCTCCCTGGATCTGGATCTGTTATTTTTGAAAACAAAATTGTGGAAGAAGATAACGCAGGCATGCTTTCTGTGGCACTCCAGATGGCCTACTTCTACATAATCAAATACATAATCAAGTTCTCACCCCAGATGCCTAACTCACTGAGCTATCCACCCCTTCAATCCATGTCTATGCCTTTGCAGACAATGTACTCCAGTCCAGACGTACAACAAGAAACATGCCAAATCTCTTTCATCTTCTTTCTGCAAACAATTCTGAGTTCTCTTTTTTATTGCTTGGTTTGCTGGGAAGACACACCTTATGTTTAAACAAAACCTAATTTCATAGCACATGAGAATAAAATTATCCTTTCTTCCCTTCTTGGCCTCTTTATAAGGCACAGGAATCATTGTACAATAAAATGCTTAGATAGATGCTGAGAAAATAACAAAGGTGCCACATATGCCCCTGTATATATGTATGTACATGTTCTATGCTGTCAAGTCGTAACCCACCTATAGCAACCCTAATAGGGCTTTCAAGGTGACTTATTTAAGGAGTGGTCTTACCAGTTCCACTCTCCCAGTGAGTTTCTGTGGCAGAGTGGGGACTCAAATCTTATTCTCCAGAATTCTAGTCCATCATCCTATCCGCTACACCACACTGGGAATCCGTCCCTATCATTTGTGAAGAGGTTTCTTGCCTAATGGGACGTGGTGGCGCTGCGGGCTAAACCGCAGAAGCCTGTGCTGCAGGGTCAGAAGACCAAGCAGTCGTAAGATCGAATCCACGCAACGGAGTGAGCTCCCGACGCTTGTCTCAGCTTCCGCCAACCTAGTGGTTCGAAAGAATGCAAATGCAAGGAGATAAATAGGGACCACTTCGGTGGGAAGGTAACAGCGTTCCGTGTCTAAGTCGCACTGGCCATGTGACCACGGAAGATTGTCTTCGGACAAACGCTGGCTCTATGGCTTGGAAATGGGGATGAGCACCGACCCCTAGAGTCGAACACGACTGGACAAAAATTGTCAAGGGGAACCTTTACCTTTACCTTTTTTCTTGCTTAAGAAGTTTAGTTTCTTTCTTAAGCTAATCTACAAGCTGCTACAGATTTGAACCATAAATTAAACTGGAGAAACCTCAGAGCAACTGGGGAATAGAATGGAATTTCATTTACTGTATTGTCCTCTATTTTGCATCAATAAATGATGATACCTACAAAATGTCGCAATAGCAAAATGAGTTAACTGGTATCTCTGGTGAAAAGACTTTGGGGTTACAGAGGATCTTAGGAGAGAAAACATGATTTAGAAACACAAGGTGGGGGGAAGGTAACCAACTGGCATTTTAGACTGCATCTAACACTGTTTTCCAAAGTTTCTCAACAGAAATGAAGAACCAAAGATTGAACTCCATTATTTTTCCAAGCACAAGTCACAAAACTATGGGGGGGGGGAGAGAGAATTGCATAGCTCACTTTTCAGACCTATTAATGGTAAGAATAAAACTCTATGAATAACCTGCAAGTGCAGGTAGCTACCGTACTGTCCACCATAAACTTTAGTCCATAGTTCCTTTCTCATGTTCCTGAAGATCACAGCCATAACCTTATATTAGCAAGGTATTTTATTGAATATTAACCTCAGGCTTCCAGGAGGAAGAGTTCTTCAATGCTGTATTGTTGCTTCGGCCTCTTTGGTGCACTTGGTTTTGTACCTATATAAAGAAAGCATTTTTCTTTTACTATGTAGCTGAAATAGTATACATGATGATTTACAGGGTTTGGGATTGTTGTAACCAAAAGCAGTGAATGCACAGGTATGTTCTGAAATATCAACATCTGGAGTATATACAACAACTTTACCAACAGCCAGCTGTACGTATTAACTATGCCATCTAGCATATTGAAAAATGGATCAAAATATTTGCTTCTAGGACAGTCTTTTTAAAAACATATCCTGAATGGATTAATAAGCTGTGGATATTTTCCTCTGACAGTCAGAACAACTCTAATCTTAGAAAATGGAATGGGGGGAAAATAACCAGAAGGTGAAAACATCTTCTGTCTTCTGGGAAAATACTGAGAGGTAATTCAGGCTGCTGTTAATTTTCCTCTGACTAGGTTTTGAACCTGGGCTCATTGCCTCTTCTGAGCAAAAATTAAAAGCTTGAAGGAACTGTCTGACCTACCGGTTGCTAACACAATATTTCTTCCAAGGTTGGGAACTGGGGGGAATAGGAAATTAGATTTTTCATTTCTGTGTAAAGTCTGAAACTTAGGTGAGAAACCAATGCAAAACAAACAAAATAAAAACCAAAAACAAATGAACAAACCACTCTTAATGGATAAAACAGGATAAAATGTCATCGTATTATCATTTATTAAGATTTCTCCACCTTTCCAGGTCTAACCGTGAGCACCCAAAAAGGACTGATGAAGCTGTAACTTTCTGATATTATTGTGCCCGTTCTGGTGTTTCCCCTCTCTCCTGTCACCTTACAAACAAAGTTGTCTTAATTTTTATCCAGATAAGCCTCGGGACAAAACAGTTCCACTTATAGGTGTCCATGTCTGATTTGTAGGGATGTCCTTCTCCTCTCTGAGAGCCAGGCTGAACCCTCTCTGCAGTATTTTCAAACAAGCTGGAGAACTAGTCATGGAGAAGAAGGGGCACAGATGTCTGCCTTTATCAATTCATTGGCACACACCTGCATTTGGATCTGCAACCTATAATATACCTACAAATGCAAAAATCCTACTTCTGTTGACATACAGAACTAAAACTCTTTGACATTTTAATTCACCTGAACATACTGTATACATTTTTAAAATCCAGAGTAGTCTCTAATCTTTGTGAGCTCTTTTTACCTCTGGCTTCTGTGGCAGATAAAACTGAAGGCTTGGATCCATCATAGGACTGTCCTGTTTTCCCAGAGCCTTAGCCAGTTCACCCCAGCTTCCATATCCTGTACAGAGAAAGGAGGTGATAATTAATAAACAGTCACTGTACAAATCTCCTGACTCTGAGCCTTCCATGGCAGCTTCAACGTTATGCTCTTCTTATGACTCTGGTTTTTATGTCACCTATTAGGCTTATTTTTACAGAGAATGATGAAAGCATCCTGGTCTATTACCAAATACTGGCTGCGTTTTAATGTTATGCTAAACTCTAGGTTTATTGTGACAGTGATGAGACTAGCCTCCATTTAGCATGGCATTCTTCCCCTCTTCTCCTTGTTTGGGACAGAAGAGAGGAGCACATTTTCAGCTTTTGCTTCTGGTTAACCATATCTCATTATGTCCTCTAAACTGGAAACAGTTTTAAAACCATGGTATGGATGTAGTGCTAAATGGTGTTAGTCTGAATCTGAAGCAAAGCCTCAGCTACCCCATGGGATTGGTGGGAGAGCCCATGAAATCAGAGAGAGTCTAGACTTTGTCTGGATTTCTTATGTCTGAAAACACCATTGTCATTGCATACCAACATCCTCCTAAAACATTATCCTTGAAGATCCATTAGAGGCAACAAAAAGGCAAATCACAAATAAATGCTGTATTTATACTTTTTTACATTCAGAGTTTGTATCTATGAGGGTGACATAAAATTGTTTCTATTTCCATTGCTAAATAGGACTGCTGTGTTTTAGTTCTTGTGAAGTGTTCTGATCTCTTTGAATTAGTCCTTTAGTTATCTTTTCTTAATGATTCATCTTTCAGTGTGCTTTTGTAATAGAATTTCATGTACAGCTTGTTTCAAAATACTGAAATACTGGACAACACCAGCAATCATTATGTTAGACTGCACAGGGAAGCCATTGAAATCCATAAATATCAACAGAACTTCAACAAAAAAGAAGAAGGCCTAAACCAAACATGGCCTGGTTCCCAATACTGAAAAATATAGCCTGCAAAAGGTCAACGAACTCTACCCAGCCACAAGGACCAGGGATCATTGAACAAAAAGAGCAACTAACGACACCCATCTATCACAGCAACAGATAATTTCTCCCCCTTATCACAACAAAAACACGCTGATCACCCTATATCTTGAAAAGGACATAAGCTGTTCCCACAGCATGCTGATCACCCTATCTCTTGAAAAGGACATAAGCTGTGTTACATACAGCACTGATGTTACCTGTCTGTCATGGGTTTGGAGGGAAAGTTCCATCCTATGGGGAGTGGAAGGCGGGACATCAGGAGGAGGGGCTGTACTGTATATAAATGTGAAACCTGTGTGGTGGAAGGGATGCTAAGAGACACTGGGGTGTGACGAAGCAGCAGCTGGGAAGAAGAAGCTGTTGTGGGAGTCTGTGTGTCAGACAGGGTACTACTGTGTGTCAGAGTACCAACCTGATAGGTTCAGGTGTCTGTTGGTTAGCCAGAACTGATAGGTTCAGGGTCTGTGCTTCAAGTTAAGGGTTCTGGGTGAACCAAACTGTGTGTATGTATGAGTGAGAATAAGCCACGTTACTTTATCCTATTCACCTGATTGTTTATTTTTCCCTGTGTGTATTTAAAATAAACCTTATTCTTTTTATTGTTTGAAAATCCATCTCTGCTCTGTGTGACTTCTTAAAGGGAATGGTTGGTGGCAGCTTAGTGTAACTGTGTGACATATCCCAGTAGGTCTGGGTTTGTCACAAGCTGTTCCCACAGCTCTAAATACTCAACTATCCAACAAACAGCAACAGAGCATGGACAGAGTTCCTATTCCAGTCCTCTGAAGATACTGGCCACAGAGACTGGTGAAACGTCAGGAAGAACAACCTTCAGAATACGGCCAAAGAGGCCAAAAAACCCACAAAAACCATCAGATCCCGGCCGTGAAAGCCTTTGAGAATATATTTCTGGTTTTGCTAGTTTTTCCTTCTAAAAGAATATGCAAACACTCTTGCTCTTCAGTAGCTGAAAAGGGAAAAGTGAAGTCTTCCAAGAACAAAGCAGGTTTAGAAAATGACAGGCACAAATAAGGATGACTGTGCCACTTATAATGACAGAGATGCACATGAAATCTGTACATGTAATTTTATGGGATGGACTTCTAAATAAGAAGGTCTAGGGTTGCAATGCAGTTCAGTTTGTAGCTATGTCCTACACGGTACAGTAATTGAAAAATGTAATAGATGTAAAAGCTATGGGATTCAAAAATCATGTTTTACCCGGGGGAACCTGCTGCAGTTTGAACACTATGGGAAATCATTATGCTTCTCACAGAAGGGGCAATTTGAAGGATGAATCTTGTACAACTTTAGTAATTACTGTGCTGAAACATTTTAGTTGTTTAATCTGTTAAAACATGACAATACCACATACATTCCTGCTAGTCCTCACAAACTAAGAATCTGATTATGATTAATTTATGATACCTTATAATTGATTATGATACATTCAGCTCAATTATTTGCTTCCTCCCACCTTCTTGGATGAACACTTTAACCTGGTGAAGGGGACTGGGTGTACTAGCAAAGCTGAAAGTATGGTGTCAGGAGGCCAGACTTCATTATGAGCCTGGACTCCAAGCAAGGTCACCCAAGGTAGAATGGGCACAGCTGAGACATCAGACTAAGAGGCATCTACCTTTTTCGAGGGTAGCAGCTGCATCAGCTGAAGAGAATGGATAGTTCCAATGATGATGGGGTGGCACTACTGGGCAGCAGTGGTAGCTGAAGGTGACACTGGTGGTGGAGGCAATAGTAAACCACTACTGAATTTTCCTTACCATGAAAACATCATAATGAGATAATTCAAAGTTAAACAAGAGATAATACTGGAAGGTGAGTCTTCCGGGATGGAAAAAAATCAATCAGCTACTGGCGAAGAACAAAAGATAAGTACAAACAGCACTGTCACTAATGATGCTACTAGATTAAAGCTGAAAGGACGTCTAGTAGCTGATATGCACATGAATGAAAGGAAGTTCCAAGACAATACATACAACTGGAACATGAGAAGTGTGAACCAAGGTAAACTGGAAACTGTGAAGCAAGAAATAGAACACACAAACACTGCAGTGCTTGGTGTCAATGAACTAAGGTAGTGGGACATTTTCAGTCAGATAACTACAAAGTGTTCAACTCTGGAAATGACAAACTCAGAAGAAATGGAGTGACTCTAATACTGAAGCAAGATATAGCACATGCAATCAAAAGTTGTAATGCAAGGTGTGACTGTTGAGTCACTTAGATTCCATTGAAAACCTATCAACGTAACCATCATTCAAGTCTGTGCTCCAACTACAAATGCTGAAGAAGATGAGATTGCAACTTTTATGCAAGCTTCCAGGAGGAAATCACACACCCAAACAATACATGCTTTTTTTTAGAGCTGACAAAAGTAGGAAGCAAAGCAGAACCAAATGTTGTCAGAGAATTTGGTCTAGGGGACAGAGACAAAGCAGGAGAATTACTCAACAGTTCTGTGAAGCCAACAATATGTTTATTGCAAATACATGCTTCAAGCAACTGAGTAGACAACTGTACTGTGATCAATACAGAAATCAAACAGATTAAGTAATTGGAAGCAGATCATGGAGAAGTTATATTCTCTCTGCCAAAATAAGATCAGGAGCAGATAGATTCTGGTACTGATAATGAACTGTCAATATCCAACATTAGATTAAAGCTGTAAATAAACACTAAAAGAATCCTAGTACCAAAATATAACTTAAACCACATTCCTTATGAATTCAATATCCACATATGGAACAGATTTGCATTACTAAACTTCACTGATCATGAACCAGAAGAACTGTGGATTGAAACAAGAGATATTATTAGGGAAATGTGTAAAAAGACAACTCCTGCAGTAAAAAGAAAAGAAAAGCCTAGATGGATTAAAGATAAAACACTTCAAATGGTAAAGGATGGGTGAGAATTAAAAGGGAACAGAAACAGTCAGAATCCTCAATGCAGCTTTTCAATGACTGTCACATAAAGACAAAGAGATTACAACAACCAGTGCAAAGAATTAGGGGAGAATAATAAAAGGGGAAAAACAAGATATCTCTTCCAGAAGAGTCAAGAAATCAAATAAAAATCTAAGCCTGGATAAGGACTGCAGAAAGACCAACAGGGTAAGCCGACTGGCAGCTTTATTATGAGACACAGCATTTCCCTCAAAAATAACAGACATGCAAAGTTAAGGTAAAAAATTAAAAAAGTACAAATTTGGTTTAAATTTTTCTCACTAGATATGATTTAAAGTTGGATTAGATCTAGTTCACTGGTAGCCTGTTTCAGCCAATTGGGTTGTGATTCTACAAAGTTGCTGCTTAACTCGTTAAAGGAAAGAACAAGAGAAAACAGGTAAATAGAAGTATCATAAGTGTTATTTGTAGATGAAGGAATAGTGACAATACAGTACACAGAACAAGCCCCTTTAAATTTGAATCTGCAGCATGGACCAGTAACGATGATGTACTCTACATCTGATTATCTGTTATTCATGAACAAGAGTGGCAAACTGATAGAGAGCTTCTATCAAATTAAAGAAGTTTTAGTTGATTAATTGTACATACTTGTTAATTGTTTAAATTACTCTGTGCATGCAAGAAGAAAAGTAGGTGGAAAAAGCACACACTTGTAGATGGTAGACGCATGGTGCAGCAGACATAATTTACTGTATAGGAAGTCATATAGGAAGGTAATATTTCAGGCGACACTGAATTTGTATTTGTACTTTGAAAAATATGTTAAACTCTGTTTGTAGAATAATCCTAACCTTTACCAAGGGTCAGATGAGAGGGTTAGCTTCAGGCAGAAGAGTCCCACTGCGAGCAGGGTAGAATTTTCCACCTTAAGGCCTTCAGTTGTTATGCTTAGTGTCCTATTGGCACTGAAAAGCCAGTGGCACACTTTTTACCAGCAGCAGGGGCTAGATCACTTCGCCATATCTGACTTTTCAGGGGATATCAAAGAGACCTGTGGGATTTCCAATTCTACCCACTGACACAATTGACTCTGAG